TAAGGGGTGGGGGGGATTTGAGAGCCAGAGGGTAGGAGAGGGGCACTGGTACTTGCCCTCATCACAGCCTGGAGGGGAAAAGTCAAGGTCACAAAGTCTGAGAGCTTCTCCCCACCTGCCCTCGCCCAGGTGGAGAGTGAGGGGAGGACACACCACAGCTCCCAGGGAAGGAGGGAAACGACCCCTCCTCTAGCCAGGAGCGCCCGGCAGTCTGCAGGGCTATCAGGGGTGGCCCAGCGTGGAGATGCCAGAGGCAGGCGCTGGACTCCGGGGGGACCTAGGCCTCAAATCTGGCTCTAGCACTTCCTAGTGGGGTCACCTCTTCATAGAGCTTCAGTTTCCTCACATGTCAAATGGTTATTAATATGGCTACCTGGGAGGGTTATTGCAAAGATAAGTAAAATGTGGTCATATCTTTCTGTCCTGTGCCGGCTAGATCCCAAATGCTCTGTACTCACCTGGTGCTAGTCCTGGTAATAATGCCAGGCTACTACCACAGGTTCTGCAAGCTCCACTCCTGTCTGTAGAGGAACTCTTGGGCTGCCTCTCTGCTGGGCCACCTCGGGACCCTGGGCCATCCCTTCCTCTTCCCGCTCTCAGGTGGTGGCGCTCCAGGAGTTTGGAAGGGGTGGGTGTGCCAGCAGAATTGTCTTGGGGCTGTGTTTGCACAGCAAATGTGCAGCTCTTACTTCCAGGGTGTGTTATTTGGGGGTGCTTTGGGGGTAGCTGATGGAGATTATGAGCCCAAGCCAGTCCTTGGGGAGGTAGGGGCTGCTCAGGGTCAGGGCCTGGGGCTCGGTGCTGGGATGTGCCCGCTGGTGGAGAGACCAGAGGGTGCCTCTGCATGCCTGCCCCTTCCCAGGAGGGGGAAGGATGGGGTGCTGGTGCGGAGCGGGGCCCCACTCTTTTCAGGGCAATGACGTGGGCAGGAACCGGCTTTCAGACTTACAAACCGCAGTCTGCTCAGAGTCTTTATTAATTTCAGGACCGGGAGAGAAGCTGGAGCCAGCTGGAGAGAGCTTGCTGTGGGGGGATCCAGGAGAGGTGTGGAGGGGCGCTTGCAGGGATAGACTTGAGGCTGCTGGGCCAGGCCTCTCTCTGCGGGACCAGGGCCCTATATCCTGCCCCCCCCGACCCGTGTTCCCCCTTCTTCTTAGCATCCCATGCTCACTGCAGGAGCCCCATGAACTCATATCCACCAAGGCTCTGTGCATCTCCAAAGGGGAGCCTCAGTTCAGAACCCCATCCATTACCTGGATTACCCAGTGCAGTTTAGCCCAGTGCATTCCATACATAATGTAAGGACGAGGGGTTACAGTTATCAAACAACTTTCATCCATCCATTCACTCATACATTCAAGAAAGCCAACAGCCCTCAGCTGCTCTGGCCACCTCCCTGCATAGCTATAAGGATTAAATGAGGTCATGAACTTCCCATAGCGGGCTCCCCGAATGCTGGGTAAGCCTGGCTTCACCATTATCCTTGACCAGCCACATCTGCGGGGCATCCAGGTGAGCCACTGACAGGCCGTCTCTGTCCTCAGCCCCTCCAGGTTCACCCCTTTCGGAAGAACAGGGCCACCAGCCTCCACACAGTTCTGAGCATGCCGCTGCTTTGCTCAGAAACCCTCAGTTGCCTTCCGGATAAAGTCCAGACTTCTGAGAATTGCCTTCAAATCTTTGGCCCTACCCAGCTCAACTTCTCTGTCACTCTCCTTCCCCCTGGCCAGCCAGCCAGCCTCCCTTCTGGTTGATGCCGCTGCTCCCAGCTGCCAGGCTTGTCCTAGAGGCTGGACACGGGACCATTGTTGCCGATGTTCCCTGGTCTCAGCTTCCCTCTCTGCAGGTCTGTGGCCTCAGCATCCTTGCCCCTTGGATCTCTACGAGGGCCCATAGGTACTCAGTATTTCATCTTATCCCCTGCTGGCCTGGCCTTCAGCGGAGCCAGCTAGAGGATGGAATCATTTCTGTCTCCCGCGTCGTCCGAGTGTGTCTGATAATAGGCAAAGATGCGCTCTTCAGAAGATGGGGACACCGCCAGAATGTTGGGGTGCAGTTTTTGTCTTTTCCCTTGTCTACACATGGTCCTTTTATCCACTGAGTGCAGGATGCTCTATCTGCATGAAACCTTGAACCAGAGAGAGAGATCAGCGCGGGCTGCCTGGCTAGTCTGGGAAGAGCTTGGAGTCAGGCAGACCCAGGACCCTGCTGTGCTCCCTACAAGGTGAAAGTCTCTGCTGTCAGTCATTTAAAGCTCTGTGTGCGGGAGGGAGGAGCGTGGCTTTCTCATGTGGACCTAGGTGAGGTTTGCCACAGAAAAGAATGTGGATTGGGTAGCATGGGTTCAACCACCTGCCCTCATCCCTGAGACCCAACTGCAGGCATTAAGAAGATGGCCAGAACCTTCTCATCCTCTGATTTAAAATTTTCTAGTAGTCATATAACATAAAAGATACGTAAAATTAATTTTAGTAATAAGTTATATTTAACCCAATACATCTAAAGTACTATCATTTATTTGAACATGTCATTGATAGGAAAAGTATTAATGAGATGTTTTGCCTTCGTTTTGTACTCCCTTAGAACACATCTCAATTGGGACTAGCTGCGTTTCAAGTGCTCAGAAGGCACATGTAGCCGGTGGCCACCGGGGCGGACAGCACAGGTTGAGACTCTGAGGTGACTCGTGAGAATGAGCCTGACTTAGGACAAGAGAGGAGGGAAAGCTAAATGGTGACTTCTGCTGCTCACAGTTCACAGGTGAGAAGGGTGTGAGGATGAGGGAGAGAGCCCAGGCAGGAGGGACGGCCTTGCGGGCTGGCAGGGAAAGACCTGGGCGCACCCACGACAGGCAGCCCCAGGGGAGAGGCCCTGCCCTCACGCTGGTGACCGAGCCAGAGCGGGTACCGCCTACTGAAGGGTACCAAGCAGCATCGGCCCAGAGCCAACACTTTGGCTAGAAAATGAGAAAGGCCTGCGTAGCTCTTGTCTCCCCAGCGGCAGCCGGGACCCCTCCGGCAGCAAGAAGCCAGGAACAGAAGGGGCCTGCAACAGGACAGGTGTCAGACTTCATTGGAGGTAAAGGGTCTGCAGCCGAAAAGAGATGGGGCACTGCCGGGCTGGGCCACCTGAATCTCACTTCATGCAGGCGTGGCTTGAGGGGAGAACAGGCTGTACGTGGAGAGGGGTTTAGCAGCTGCGAGGGGGGCTGGGATTCCAGGACAGGCTGCTTCTGCCACCCCAGGCTAGGGTGCTGGGAGCAGAGTGGGGCAGGGGTGTGTGGCGCCAGTGGTCGGTGATATGACCGGGATTGACACTGACTGACATAATTAGCAGGTCACCTAGTCGTTCCTGATAACGGTGGTGTAAAGAGTCATTAACCCAGGGAAGCCCCCGTTTCCTCTAATGGAGACAGGGCTTTGCACACGCTTTTCAAGATTGAAGGCTCATGTCTTAAAAGCCTGGTACACAGCAAGTGCTCAAAGGTGGGATGAGGACCACGGCACCATCTCAGGCAACCGAAGCAAACCACTGAGGCTGGGGGAGGGGGGAGGCAGCCCCTCCCACAAGTACCAGCCCCCCTACCACCCTGGGATACCCTGCCCTGAGCTGCCTTTGATCCAGCGACCTCTGTGCAGTCACTGCCTCTGCTCAGGCCCTGGTGTTTGCGTGTCTGAGTCATTTGTCAGTCTGGGTCCTTGGCGGGTGCAAGCCAGTGGAGGGTGGGGGGTGTCCTGGACCGGTCGTCCTGCCCCAAGCTGTTCCCACATCGCCTCTCGCTGTCCGCTGCGGTCTCGGGGGAACATTGTGAGCCGGGTGCTCGGACCACCCCTCCCCAGGGGACCAGAACACGCCTCTCATTTGACACTTGA